CCATGGCGTCGTCATTGTGAAACTGAAGCAGTGCAAACTCGTGATCACGTTCCTCGCTGTATGGCAGGTACGCCAGGCGCCGCAACGGCTTGTACGACACCAGCGCCTCCGCCACGTCCCTCGACAAGGTGTAACACCAGCCAAACATAAAAGTGTTACCCGGGAAGCGCTTATTCGCAAACTGGGCGACACCAATGTGGTATCCCATGTAGACCCCTCGGCGCGGCAGGAGACGCAGGTGAGCAACGAACAGCGGCACACGGAGAAAAATATCGTCATCGCCCTTCGCAATGTACCTCGTGGTCGGAAACAGACGGAGCGCAAGGTCAAACCACATGTACACCTTGCGGCTTAAACCGACGTTCGCCTCAGCCCCAAAAAAGCCGTAGTGGCCAACTGTTTTGTTAGTCGTCACGAGGCCCTCGTTCATTGGCAGCGCAACCACATCGTTCCACTGCGCCACCTCCTCCAGCAGCGCGGCAGAGTAGTCATAGCCGTGCGACGGGTGTCGCCCAAGGACGTACAGCACGAGCATCGCACCGGTGAAGTCGTTCGCCCTCGTCGCCACTCCGGGGTACCGCCAGCACGTCGTCCGCTGCAGGTTGCGTTGCGTTCGCCTCGCTTCTTCGTCAATGGAGGGAACGCCCAGCACAATCAGGTACTCCCGCCGGCTCCACTTGTCCACAACACTGCGTGGGATGTAAGCAAGTGCTGCATCGTCCGCGGCGGGGGCGCGCGAGTGGCGGAGGTTGTTGGGCCCCGGCACTTCATCATCGGCAGCGGTGTCGAACCTGAGGGTCAGAACAGTCGTGGCCACAATGAAGAGAATCAGCAGCACAGTAACCCGCTTCAGCTTCTGTCTAAGCGTCAGCAGTTTCGGTTTCGCCATTGTCGCTGTTGGTGTGAGAAGCTAGACAAAAGAAAAAGGGGCGGAGAGCGTTTAAGGGCGTATGTGAATTTATCATTATTATGTGTTTTTTCGTACTTTCTCAAACAAATCCGATGGACAGCAGACGGCACGGCAACAAATGACCCCAGACCTTGTGGTGTTACAACTGTGTGCTCCAGTAATACGCGGCTGGTCCGGGCGCTGGTCAATGCCGTCAGCCCTGCGTCAGCAACAACAATCCCATGAGGGAAGCATTGCTGACTCCTGGCTTCCCCCGATAATACAGGGCAACCGGTCCTGGCACCACGATGTTGCAGTCAAGCATGAAATCGCAAGAGGAAGCAATGTTGGCGTCAGCACGAAAATGCCGTCTCACCATCAATGGGATGCGGCACTCACTCTATGCGGTCACACGAAATGCACCATTTCCTCAATAGAACTTATCCTTCGTCCATCCCTTAAGACGCCTCTGTTAGTGATGGGCCTTTGAACGCAATAGAAGAAAATGGACAATGCGATAACGCCGTGGCACCGCCAGCCACAATTATTCCCTCATACCGGGGCGATTCTCCAATTACGCCTCGTATGCACACACAAAATCAACATAACATATAAAAACCACCCAATGTTTTTCACCAGAAACCAAACAACCCCACTCCCTTTCCTTAATTTATTCTGTCACTGTTATTTTTGATAGCGTTGGACATTTTGGCATTTGTGTACGGTGCTGCCGCATGGGGCTGGTGCACCCGCACCGCATGCTCAGACACAAGCATCCAAAAATACATAAATCCCACAATATTTTTTACCATAAATCAAGCTGTCTCGTTCACTTGCAATTTCCTAATCTATTTTCCCATTATTATTATTATTATTATTATTATTATTATTATTATTATTATTATTATAGCACACTTCGGAGAGCTTCGTCTCTTCTAAAGTCTCTGGATGATATTGATACTTGGTACTGGCGCACCTCTTCCTCCAGAACGCCGCAATCTCTCGGCTTTCAGCGCGGCTCACACTATTGGGATTGTCGACATCACATCTCCGCCAGTCGTTCATCGGCATGCTGTCTGCGTGCTGCACATAAATAATCCCCCACGAGAATTCTTGGGATAACTCCTCCCAACCATTAAAATAAGCCGCCAGACACTCAGTGAACTGCCTCACAGTGCTGGCGGTCGTGTGGCGCCCACTCGCCGTAGCCATCCGCAGCCCAACCAGCGTCTTCCGCGGTAACTCCACAAAGAAAAAGCAGTCCACCAGCGGAAAGATTGCACCCGCCGGTATGCACAGCACCCCGTACTTTATTTTAGTATTTGTATGGTATTCCATTGCAATCACTCCACATAAGACTCGGCGCGGTGCCCTTCAGGGTTCGCCTCCAGCACCGCGCACTGTCGTCCACGGCGTGTTGGTGGCATCAGCTCCTTGAGGTCCTCTAATAATGCACCGAAAAAATCCCCCAAACATAAACGCGCGCAAGCCAAACCTTCGCATACATTCAGACAAAAGAGTATTCCTCTTCCCCAATACTAGCAACAGAAAAATATATACATCCCCATCACTCATTACGTTTCCCAAAATAGTGCGATATTCAACGCCCGAGGCAAACAGATATCGGTGCGTTCAGAAATCCCTCAGCACCGACTTA